TTTTTTTCTTCATTGGATACCGAATCCATTAAATGAACAATTTACTATTCTTGGTTATCGAATTTATATTGATGAAGTTCTAAAAGGTTCTGTTGATTCAGGAAAATTTGAAACTGTTATTGATTGTATTCGTGATGAAGGAGAATATAAAATAAAACTTCGTGCATATAATGATAGTGGAGAATCAGAAGATTCAAATATTGTTATAGCAAGATTTCGTCGTCAACAACCAAGAACACCTCGATCAAATTCTGAATCATCGGAAACGAATATAATTTATCGTACTCAATCGGATCTTATGGTAGATAATATAACACATTCAGCATTACGACAAACACAATCACAAGAGAATTTGTTCGTAGATGGAACAAAACAACCTATTATTATGAATAAACAACAAGAACGAATCGAAGTGAATCGATCAATGTTATCAGGTGGATTTCCTTTATTAACACAACAACAAACTGAACCTTTGATAACACCAGATAAAGAAACGGTAAAAACCAAACAAAAAATTATGAAACATTTATTTATATTTTATTTTTAGAAAACTTCGGAAGAACTTATTTCACCTATTACAACAAATTCTTCATATTCAAGTGATAATATGATTAATCGTAAACCACGAGTGTCACCTACTTCAAGTCCTAGTCATAGTGAGAAAATAACAACGAATGGAACATGTCAGAAAGTTTTATTCATTAATGATTCATCTTCATCAAATCTATCAAAACGTAGTCCAACACGAATAGGAATTATGTCTCGTCTTGTTAAAAGTCCACATAAAATTAAACGTAATAATATTCTATTAAATGCTTTGCCAATAAATCTATCACCTAGTCCAACAGAACCTACCAATACAAACAAACTTGAAGTAATTCATTCTTTTTTTCTCTTAATCCTAAATTCGGGCCAGTGAACGATGAGCACAGGAACTTTAAGCACATGAGTGTTTACGTCCATAATATCGACGAAAACAAAGAAAATCAAGGCAAATATGAATCGACATGGATACAGGAATCTATCGATGTCATCTTTTCCGAGCCAGCATCCTCACCCACACTCAGATGCTTGTGTGCTTAAGTATCCTTGTGCTCATCGTTTCGGTTCCCCTTAAATTCTATTATCAATTATTCTTACAAAAAGAATTCACGCAAAATTCTCTATAGTGACAGTATTATCTTTCAAGTTTTTTTTTATGAAGATCTTGTCTTCAATTGAGGCACTAATAAAACGATCATAAAGAAATTTCATCGATCTATATCCTCGTATACGAAGATCAATTTCTGGACACACTGTAATCAGTCATTCATTATTCTTAATCTATTCTAGGTACAATCAGTCGATCGATCAATAACTTTTCAACCTGAAACAAATAGCAACATTAATCATGGTCATATTCTAGCTCAACAACTTCCAATAACATCAAGTGATATAATAAATTCAATGACTATACCTCCTGCATCGTCTTCATCACCAACTCCTTTATAAATAATAAAAAAAATAAAATACTTTTAAATTGTAAATTTTTTTTTTGTGTTAGTATTCATGGATTTTTTTTGTCAGATATTGGTTAAATATTGCATGTAATTGTTGAACTATGAATAAAATCTTTTTTTGTGTGGAAATTAAAAACAATTTAAGAAGTATGAGAATTTTATTATTATTACAATCGAGATGTCGCACATTGTAAGAAAGTTTAATCTAGTTAGGAAAATACGATTGGATTTGAAAAATGGGTAAAAAAAGAGAGGGATAATAGGTACACATTTCGTTTATTGTCTAACTTAGTAAATCAAATCAATTATGAAATCTGATAAATTGTCGACAAGTAGTTTTGATCGACCAAAACTACTTTTATTTAGATTTCTTGCTCATCAGTAAGAATCTATTTTTAATTAAAAATTTTATTGTATAGAATTTTTGTTTTTGAAAATGATAGAATTCATCCATTTGCTTATGCTGTGAATACTTTTCTTCAGCCGGCTCTTGATGATTGTCGAATATTGTTACATAGTAATCCACAAGATACATTTAATATTTTATTATCACTTACACAAACGTTTATACGTTTCGCACCTGATTCAGAATTAATCTATGATGATATTCAACAATTTGCAAGTAATTTATCATAAATAATTTATCAATAACGTTATCTTTTGTTTTTCAAATTTTGTAAGGAAAACTTAAAGACGCTATTGATGAATGTTTCACATGTCTTGATCAAGATACGATTCAACAATCATCACAGTTACTTCATTCAACTCATCAAAGTCTTTTAGCTATTATTCAACAACAAAGTTAGAATTTGATAATTAAATAGAAGTTTATGTTGTGTTTATCTTTTATAGATAATGATAATACTAGTTATACAAATATGTATAAAAATATGTCTGGTAATTAAATAGATCGTATAGCGTATATTATTAAATTTTATTTCTTTTAGCAGTATTAACAAATCTTCAAAAAATAAATTCATTACCAATAGAAATACAAAATGTATCATCAAGTCAAAATCTTGATGCAACAATTCCAGTTGAAATAGCAAACAAACAAGAAACAACAAAGAATATGAATGGGCATTTAGGTATAGACATAAGCGAGATTCTTCAGTTTCTTCCAATATTATTGTGGAAATCTAAAATTGGAATAACGTTATTTTCTTACAGTAGATTCACACGAGCATAATGGACAAACGAATGGTTATCATAGTATTGCTGTTACAAATGGACTAACGACGAATCAATCACAAAAATCACCTACAGTTTCATATCAGCCAACACAAAATTCTATGGTTCCGTCAAGTACGACATCAATTACAACAAAACTTATGAACCAAATGAAAAATATAATGAGCTCTGAAATCCCTATAACAACAGTTCCTAATGTAACATCAACATCAGCATCACAAGCAATGTCTACAATATCGTATTTAAGTGAATATGAAATAACAGATACAATGGAGCAGATAATTAAAAAACCAACAGCAACTATAGCTTCTTTTCCACCACGGCAATTATCAACAACTGATACTCAATCAAAATTAACTACAGTTAATAAAGATGAAAATTTGAATAGACCTGATGCTGAAACACCTTCATATGAAAATGATATTCAATTTGGTACTACATTCAAAGCACAAACAATACCAACACTATCTGCTAAGTATGTAAAATGATGAATGGACAAATATTTTCTATAAGATTTTTTCATTTCTCTAGTCGTGATGATGAAGATAATGATGAAAAAGCTCGTCAATATTATTTAGATCCATATTTTTGTGATCCATATATAGCTAATTCGAAGTAAATTGAAGAATTTAATAGATATACTTTATTTATTTATTTTTTTAAATAAAATAGTTGGCAACCAACTAAAGATTATCTTTCTATC